TAACTGTCAGCAACAATAAGTTCATTGTTGTGTCCGACGACGAGTCCAAGTGGTCTGCCACCAGTATTGACCCAGTTCTGGACCACCGAGTTAGCGGATGACTCGTTCACCGCGACTTGCTTGATCCAGCCATCTTCACATCCCGTATAGATAAGTTGCGAGTTGGGATCGTACGCAATATCCTCCGGTCCCTTGAGCTGCCCCTCGCCTAGAAATTCTGCTCCTGCCAGGATGTGGTCGTTAACCAGCAAGGCACTGATAGGGGGTACCAGAGACAACTCGTGGAGGGGTATAGGGGCCGGGTCAAAGGAATCGAGCTGGTAAAAAAGTACGGCTGCCACCACAGGAACCAGGAGCGTGGCAAAAACAACGACGAACGGCCGCCATAATCCCTTACCTTGCTGCACAGTGGCGTTTGCCTTCGAAGCTGCGTTAGAACTCGACGCAGGCATATTTGCCGGTAGTTTGGGTATGATAACAAAACAGAAAGGTGTGTTGAAGTTGCGGTGTCAAAGCTGCAATACAGTGGCAGCAAATGAAAGGAGGTGAGACTTGAGAGCTGCACCAATAGCACAGTAGCAACCACATGTAGTTGCACAGATTAGTCAATGTGTTAGGTAGGAAAAATTTATTGTCTTAAGTAGAGATCTCTTAATGCCAGAATGGGCTCTAAAGTTGTTGGCTTTTGGGCTTTGATGTGCTTATGAGTGAAATCTTAATTTTCAAAATGATGTCATGTTTGAAATTCACTAATGCGAGGCACCTTTTTCTAGGTAATGTCGGAGCTGACCATGCTGTCTTTGAGCAAGGTGCTTCGGCAGGAAATGTGGGCAATGAGAAATTGGTGCAACAAAAGAAAGCCAACCCTGTGGCTGTTCTTCTCTCATCTGCAATGATGTTGAGACATCTCCAGTTTCCGTCATTTGCTGATCGATTAGAAACTGCTGTTAAGAAGGTAATTTCAGGGGGTAAGTACCGAACAAAAGACCTTGGAGGGACTAGCACCACCCAAGAGGTTGTTGATGCAGTCATAGCCGCATTAGACTGAATGCATAGACAGTTAATTATTTATTTTCTTAAATTACAATTGAAATAATGTTTAAATAATTTAAATCCATAATTGGAAGGAGACAATTTTTTTTTCCCTTTTTTCTAAGTTGAAAAACTTGTATCAGAATCAAAATTTTTTGACTATATTGAAAAGTGAGGATAACCATTGACATAAGCCCATTATTATTTGCATATTTTTACAATTTCAAATACATTAATTTAAAACGCTTCAATTTTAAAGAACGGGATGTTCTTCTTTGGATAATTTAATAATGAGTAAGAGTTTTTAAATTTCATCATATTAAGCTCAATGAGCTTAGATTCTTTTGATTGGCCAAGCCCAATGAGCTTTTTTTTTTTTTGATCCGCCAAGCCCAATGAGTTTATGATTGAATTTGTTTGTTACTTTTAATTTTTATCCTCCTGCTTGAGTCTTTTTCGTTTTATTTTAAACTCTTTTTTTTTTTAATGTAAACTTAATTCCAGGTCTCTCTTTTATCAATAATTTTTGAATTTCCTCCAACATTTCATTTCTGAGTTCTCTATGTCTCTTTTTTTCTCAATTAAATAAAATTTTCTTTTATTAATTCCACCACAAAAGACAACTAAATTCAATAGTGAACCGCAAATGTTTGAAGTAGTGTGTTAATATATGTTTGTTAGAATCATGTAACATGTACCAACATTCTAAAATCATGAAATTGAAGATGCACACAAATTTTGATTAATCATTATTAACATTGACCATAAAAGTATTAATATTTAAAATTTTAAAAACTGGAGATTCCTCATGAGAAATAAAACCAAAAACATAATATTAGATATGTTCTATCACTTCAATGCACATCTCATGAAAAATGTAAAATGGTTAATTAGCATAGCATTCACTATATAACTCTAGAAGTCATATTTATTATTAAATAAATATTATTTTATAAATTAAATTTAAAATCTAAATTTTAAATACACTGAGTTAATATTAAAGATGTTCTTATAATTATAAAAACGTGTGTAAAATTTAGCTAAAAGTTAATAGGAAATAAAACCCTTTTTAACATTACAAAAGATGTTTTGGATCCGCGATATGAGCTTATTTATTGGATTTTTGGTGGTAAAAAAAGGGTATTGAGAGAGGACTTGAGAGAAAGAGGGGAGTCACCCAGAGTTCCCTCTTTTGGTGAAATCAAAACTCATTTTCTTCCGTTAATATTCTGCTATTTATAACAGAAATAATATAACATAACATAGAACATAAAGCCATTAACGTGAAAGGGTGTAGGCATTCACCCAACCGACCGGAGAGGAGAAACCATGCTTTCTCTTTCTCTTAATTTTCATCCAATTTCCTCCTTCCTTTTTCTACCCAATACATAAAACAATAGTATTTTTCTACCTAACACAGTAATTATTGACTACCTAAAACATGGACTAAAATAATGAAGTTTGCTATCATTTCTTGTAGCCTATGTGCAGCTCCATGCTTTTGTCACTTCACTATTACTGTGCAGTCATCACTTCTTTCCATTTGCTGCCAGTGCCGCAGCTTTGACTACCACAACTCCAACATTATTTCATGTACATTGTGGATCAGTTTTTTTAACAATCCAAATAGAGACATAGTAAAATGCTAAAATTGAACGTTATTGAAATTCTTACTTCTTTTACTTGCGAGAGGAATGATGAGTAGCAGCATAGCGATCCAGATTGAGGCGAATGATAAACGAGTACTTGACAGAGCCGCAGTAGAGATGATTCTGAATCTTGATCCCACTCGATATCAAAGACAACTCAGAATCATAGTAGTGAGCTACCGGTTTGCCCTCCAAATCAACAACAAAGACCCCAGCATTTCTTTCCATGCTTGGCCTTCCAACATACTTCTCCATTAATGCCGTAATCTTTCTGATGAATGGATATCTAAATGCCATCTCCCAACTTTTCACAATTCCCTATCATTTTAAGTAAAATTGAGAGTATTTTAATTAGTTTTCTTTTTTGCAATATTTTATTAAAATAAAAAAAAAATTGTTAAAATTACAATTTTAAGATATTTTTTT